ATACAGCTAAATGGATGCGGTGACTTTATTATGCAGGACGACAGACTAATATGTCAGGACGAATAGTATGACATAATATTATATAATATGTATAATAATCATCATGCATTTGATATAGCTGAGTAGATAGTTTTCAAAATTATTTAGGCGCCGTTGATTATAAAATGTAAAGGTCGGTAAGAGTTCATGAATATTCATATGTGTCAAGTGCAAACAATGCTAAATTTATTCAAAAAATGCCTAAGTTCAAACACAATCACTATTCGGCGGTGTAGTGGGACGGGTTGTCATTATTGTTTATCATAGGTCTATCTGACAGAAGAATACCTTCTGATGATAATATATAATATAAACCATGACCATCAATGCCGTATTAAACTGACCGTATTTTGCTATCAATGTACACGTCAATTTAATAAAAATCACGTCATAATTCATAATTATAAACAAATGAATACAGAAATTTGTACACAAGTTTAATCGAAAAATCATTTTTGTTTTTACTGCATTTATAATATGTTTCAGTTGAAAATATTCAATAAAACAAGAATTATGATACTTTTTAATATCAGTGCAACTTTTTTGTAGTTGATAGCATGTAATTGAAACTCAGAAATAAAATAAAAATATTTTGTTGAAATAATTGCATATTACCAGATATATCAAATTCACAAATACCCTATTTTAGCAGTGGTAAAATCAACTATGATAATATAATTAAATTTAAATAATGGAATAATGTAATAGTATAATATAGATGTAATATTTTAATATAACATATATTGTATAGAATAAATAAACACAATCAGATTGATTCTGAATTATCCGGTATCGGTCATCTGTGTGAAATAACAACTATAATTATTGTATTGCATAATTTAAGACAATGACTATCTTTATTGTTATAAACTTATGTTAATACATTTATGTATTATTCTTCAGGTAAAACTAATCTAAAAAAAGAAAAAAGAAAAAGAAGGTAGGTAATTTTTCAGCTGTACAGTAGCATAATGTTAAGCATACATTGCCACTGAGTTAACTTATTGAGTAACTTCTGTAATATTATGCATGATTCATTAAAATCGAAATCAAAAATTAATCATTGCACACGAAGAATGATTCTGAACGAAATGGTGTGTCAGCCTATATTACTAAGTAATTACCATATGATAATTTAAATTTCTTTTATAGTAATTAATGATTTTACAGTAAGTTATGCAGAAGGTTGAATTGATTTTTCTAAAAACATTTCCTTAAGTAAATTTATTGTATTATTAATATTTAATTATTATACTAAAAAATATCTACATATATTATGGTATAAATAAGTAATATATATAAATATTTTGAAAATCGAAAGTTATTGTATTTCTACACATAATAATGTATTTAAAAGTTTGAAATACCGACGAAAAATATTGATAAATTAAGAAAAACAAAATAACTAAAATAAAAATAATTTAAATACATAATTTCATATAAATTTCAATGATTTTATTTTTGGAATAAAAAAACTATAGTAAAAATTATGTAGCCATGTAGAATTACACGCAAATTAATAAAATATAGTTTGTAGTTTAAAATTTTAAATAAAACGTAATATTGAGGTTCATGAGTTTGAAGTTAGTCTTGTTTTATCAGTTAAATACTCATCATTTTACGAAACAGAATTTAAAATATTATATTTTATTACAACGAATTTGTTTGTTGAAGTCAATCTCCAGTAAAACATTTTAGTTTCATTAAATCTAAAACTTTAATTTCTAAACGTAGTAATATGTATGAGTAGGTAAACTTATAAAGTGGTAGTTTTTACCTAAAGTTCAACCAGCTTGTATAGTGATTAACTTCAGAGAAATCTATGTAGTACATTGCAAATTTTCCAACTTTAAGATTGCTAACTTTAGATTTGCAGATGTTAAAAGTTTTATCGGAAAGGAACTTTGTTTATGGTAGTATATATACAAGAAGACAAGATGTGTAATAGTTATTTATTATGAGAAAATGAACGGAACAGATGTTTAGAGTATTGACAAATACAAACAACTAGATAGTTAAATATTTTTATTAAATATTACAACGAAATCTGTTCAATTCTTTGTAGATTATTATCGTATTATGTACTAATTGATTTAAGTCCATAAGCAATAAATATTTTACGCACACGGTTAGAAAAAAAAAAATATTTTCAACTATATTCTGAATTTAGGACAGTATTAGAATGTTAAAAATCACAGAGAATTTAACAAAAAAAAAAAAAAAAAAAGAAAAGAAAAAAAGAAAGAAAGAAAGAAAAATACTTATACACATGCGCAATTTTTGTATTATACTTGGCTATTCATTATAATGTATTCAAGTAAAAACTCCTATTTAACAGTGTCATTTCTTATTAAGACAGATTCTCAGTAAAAAATGAATGTGTATACGGGGAATTTTTTTGTTCTTTTTCGTTTTTGAATATATTATACTACAGTACAGGTGACTGATAAAGAAATGTGAAATACATTTTTCGTCAATAAGTTTTATTTTTTGTTAGATTGGAACACATATATAGAATGAGCATTGTTATTGTCATGTTGCCACGGGCAACTGTGGCGGTGGTCCAGTGGGATAGGCTATTAGTTAATGGAGTCTTGAGGATTGTTGTGTAGAAGCTATTAAATACGGGGTAAGACTTGGCAGCGAGATGAGGCGGAGAGACGTGTAAGTAAGGCCCTAGGGGGCCCTAAGCCGATTTAACAGCCAAACTCTGCAATTTCTATGCTGCTGAAAGGTGCACCCAACATGTATGCTTATATACGTGTATTAAGTCAACACAGGATTTTTCTATCAGATTTTAAACACATGAATTTAATTTAAAAATGTGACACGGATGATAGGTATTGGGTTTGAGGTGATTTTATTTAACAGCCCTTCCAACTCCGTTGTTAAATAAAACTATTTCACTATAAACGTATTACTACTGCCAGGCTATTAAACTCTCAACCATAAAACAATAATTTAGAATAATGGTTCAAGTAGAAAAATAAAGCGGTAAAAAAAACAGAAAGGACGAGATATGCAATATGCATGAACCGCAAACAAAATAATGTGTTTATATATACGAATTTTAGTCAATATTTTTCGTTTCAAACGTGTAATATCATACGTTGTCCAAGGTTTACAAAATACGTCGATTTTTTTACGAGGTACTTCAGGGAATTTAGGGTTTTAAGAGATTTTCTGGTTTCACGCGAATTTTCAGATGTCCGTAAGAATGTTAGGAAAAACCGATCACGTTTTCAGATAAAAATACATATATATTTTCTCTTCTGAACCTACATTAAACTTTATGTACTTTTGGCCACTTATTTTGTGAACAATACTTATATATACATACTTAAGGAAAAAAATATTTTTTCTTTTTACTAAATAAATCAGTAAAATATCAATTATATAAATATATAAGTTATGGTTAAAATATTATACACAACTGTGAAATAAAATACTATAAAAAAATTATCTTTCATAAATTACCTAATATATGGATATGGATTTATATTAAAATCTAATATTATAATATTACAATTTTATTAAATAAAAAAATTTGTATTACCTATTATTTTTATGGACGTTTTAAGTACCTATTACTAAAATAATAAACTCAATGTTTAATTTTATGTATATTTTCTATAGATTATAATTGCATCATATGAACTAAACACTAATATCAAATTTATATAAATAGTTACGAGAAATTTAATTGCAATATTTTATTTATAATAAAATTAAAATATGTGTATACATTAGTGACTATACACTTTATTGTTTCTTTATTTATTGTAAGTTAGTTTATACATCGAACTATTTGATTAAATATACTTTTTATGTGAACTCTAAAGGGATATTCAAAATGATTTATCACATTTCAAAAACTTTTATTTTTTTTTAGTTTTTAAGTTTAGACTAACATATAAATATATGATATATTAAATGAAAGAATAATAATTACAATATATGTAATTTAACCAATCAATTTTCTATGTGGATTTTATTGGTCACACAAACAACAGTTAGAACTTTAATTCATTCCATACAAATCCGTCGTATCGACTACGCTAATTTTTAGCTCTTATCTTTTGGTGATGATAATAGTTTTATGTAAAAAGTATCTTAAATAGTATCCCTAAAATACAAAATCACATGACGGAAGATCAAGTGATTCAGAGAACTAGGCACAATAATCATAGATTTATTTATTTTAAATAACTTTGTATATGTAACTAAAATCTATTTTGTAGAATTTGTTAAAAAAAAATGACAAATACGAATTAAATTTTGGCAAAACCAGTTCATTTTTATTCAGATTTGAACAATTCATATTACCTAGTTGTAAGTTTTTATTTTAAGTTAAATTTTAATTTAACAAATAGATACATAATATTTTATTATTTATAGTTGTAAAAGACTTATAGAATTATGAAACAATTTGGCCATGTATAAATTTTGAGGGAAAATACATAAAGAATATACAAAGCTTATAATTATTCATAAAACTAATTCTTAGTTACATAAATCATGATAATATGACAAGTACTTTATTAAATTGTAATACTTGTTAACTGTGAATCGAATATTTTCTAATATATATATATTGGTTATATATATATGTTCAAATAAAAAGATTTATTTAATTTTTCTGAAAGTAAATCAAATGAGATTAAAACAAAAAAATCAATCAAAACATTATAGATTTCAAACATGTAATTATTTTGCATACTTAAAAAAACATGAATAGGCTTATAAATGATAGAGGGGAAGCATGCGTATACTGCGGGAAGGACAAAAATGTTAATTAAAAAGTTAAACTGAAAACTAATTGTTTGTCGGTTAAATGAGTTTTTTTTTTGCTCTGTCTCTGCTCTACTATTGTTGAACAACTTAAATAATTTAGTTAAAAAATAAATCGATTTTATGACAAATTAATTTTAAAGAGAAAAATATTTTATACTAAAACTCACTTTCTTTGTACTGTATCACGTTCTGGTGTTTTTCCGTGATCACCAGGCACCTTCTGCAGTCTTCGTCCCTGAAACGAAAAAAAAAAAAAATATAAAAATCAATATACATTTATACATTCATTTAACTTATTCCACTCTTGTCTTACACAATAATGATTAAAAATTTCAATGATAAAAAAAAAAAGTAATAATTCTTGATAAGTAAAACAATATTAGTTTAAATTGAATTCCCGACGCCATTATTGCCAGACCGTCAGCGGCAGTATAGCTGGTAACTGTGCGAAGAACAAATTTGGTTCTCCCCGTTCTCCCTTTTATAGCCAAAACTACTTTTTTCCTCGTCCGTATTGTGGTACTTAATTAAGAATTAATGAACGGTCGGCAGATCTCTCGTAAGACGAGCCTGTCGGTTTCTGGGGGATAGACGTTTTTCCAAGGGCGTCGCCATGGAATGACTCGCCTGGGGCCCATAAAACATCTACTCCCCGACTATCCGTTGCTTCGTATACACCTGTCGATGTCGCCGAATTTTACTTTATACGGGGACCGTCCGCCGTTTACACACGACCAAGACCTTTTAATGAAAACCCATAATATGCTTTTAACACATGGGACACAACACGCACAGTTGTAAAGGGGATCACACAACAATTTAGGAAACTATTTGAATTTAATTTCGAATACGATCCACAATATATAAGGATTTTCATACCATACAATCAGGGATACGAGTATATTATGTGGACTATTATGTTAGTTTATAATGACAACCAAAAGTTTATAAAATTAAAATTGTTTAGTGAAAAAGAAAAAAAAAAACTGTTGATCGTAAAATAATAAATTACTGTAGAGCATTATAAAATTAAATTAATACATTTAAATTCTACAGAAATGTCACATTTTTTTTTATTATTAATAAATCAGAGATTGATTTAAGAGTTATTCAAATGTAAACATATTTAGATACCAAGAATAGCTTTCGTTATATGATTAATAACAAAATACTATCATTACATGTAACGTGTATTGCTTTACAGTTAACATATAGTAAGTTCGTTCGGCAAAATGAAAAATGGTAATATTTTATGATTTTTATAATATAAACTAACAACATACACACAATTGACAATTCAATTCAATTCAAAAAAAATTTATATATAATAAAAAATAAAAATATATTAAACAGATCGTTGATTACTTCGATACAATACAAAGTATTTTGCTTTAACACTATAGCCAAAAAAACAATTAGATAATGAATAAAATATATGTTTACTTTCATTAGATCTCAAAAACATTAATTGAGTATAAATCTAAAAAATAACAGCATATATAATATTAGAAGTATCCGTAACGTAAAGAACAATTTTGATTTATAAAATTTAAAATGTTAATCGAAATAAATTGCTAAGTTAGGGTAGGTTTTAAAGTATCTACAGGTTAATAACAAGTTTTTAGTATATGGAGCTATACACGATTTAATATGTCTTAAAACTAATTCAAAATTCAACTAAATAATCTATGAATAGGTAGTACTATATAAAATTTTAAAACTGGAGATATAGGATCTCTTTAAATTTTTAGATTTGTATCAAAGAAAATGAAAATAGACCAGACTCGAAACAATAAATATTATTTTAAAACCAAGACAACATTATTTTATTTAGTATTTAAAATATAATATAAATAACTATCATTTTTATTTGTGTAGGTAGATTTTCTATATTAGTATTAAAAATAAAAAAACACTATAAAAAGAGAATAACGATTTAATAACATTATATAGTATTTGTTTAAAGATTTAGATAAGAGCCATTGAAACATCTTAAATAATTTATGCAAATCAAGTTGTATAGTCGACACCTGTTGGTTATTTGAATACAGTATTCATCAAGTCTAATCTTTATTAAGCAAATTTTGATAGTGACATAAATATATAATATTAGTATATTAATTTTAAAATTATATTATAAAATATAATATTAATTAGTAAATATATGTAATATGTATACATAACTGCAGCTGATATTACAACAATGTATCTATAAATAGAAATAAAATATTTTTTGTTCACATTATGAGTATGATTACATTTTTAAGTTAAATATAGAAATACATATTGAAAAATATTAAGAACTTATACTCAATATTTAAATTGTTTCATATAATGTAATGATTGAGCAAAGAGTTATAGGAACATGAAATTGAGTAACTTAAAACATCTAAAACATTTCATTCGAAATTTTAAAACGTACACCACATAAGCAAACAATTTTATTTTCAGATTTATTTATAGTAAATCTATGAATAATATAGTCCATACAATAATCTTATTTAATATAATATACAAATAAAGTCTAAATATCAATAGTATTAATATAAGTTATATACTGAAACTCTATTATTTCCCTTGTTTTATTTGTTGTATAGACTGATATAATACAATATTATATAAAACAGATTTTCTTTAATATTACGATGTTTGTCTTTATTATATATAATATAATTGTTTATCTTTCCATCGCGGAAAAATTAAATACACAAGACTGAAGAATATAACTTAAAAATAAATACATATATGTACAGGTAAAATTCGACGCAATAATAGTGATATTTTATTCAACATGTATTTTTCAATGGGCACAGATTTAATTTTTTTCTAGATTTTGAATAAATATAATAAAATAACAATTTTAAATGAATCTCCTAAGAATATTTTATACACATAACTTGATCCGATTATATAGTATGTTTTTACGGATTAAACTTTTCGTGTCATAACATCAAACGTGAATAAAATCGCATCAAACATTTTAATAGTATGCAGTGATGTTTGTAGAGAATACGCGAGTGCTAAAAAAAAAAAAATAAAATAAATACCTCATAACCAGCGCGCTGCGATTGATCGGCGAAGTATAATACTATTATAATAAATAAAAAAAAAAAAATGTTCTATAATAATTTTGCCAGTTAAAAATATAATATATAAAAAAATTTCTTTTTTATTGCTTAATTTTTTTTTTTTATAAATTGGATATAATCGAAATCTGTAGAATACTATAAAACCTAATCAGACCTCATCGTTTGCAATTGGAGACAAACACAACTTGGTCGATCATCATTCATAAAATGAGTTTTAATATCAAACACATACGATGTGTGATTATTACGATGACACGTCAGTAATCCTTTAAACATTTGGTGCATTTTTGTTTTATATTTCAACGAAAGCTGATAACGAGCGTTACTATATACGAGCTACACATTTGTATCCGTGGCTCTGAAAAACTGCGATTATTTTAGCAGAGGTTTAAATCCGTCCCATGTGGACACTGACAACACTTTATTACGAAACTGACTATATCAATAATTGTTATTATTCCCGTGGGCTTTGGAGGGAGTCACTACAAACATTTGGCCCTTCTAGGAACGTGTATATAATAATAAACAACAATATTAAATTCACGTGCAAATCGATCAGCGTACAAAATATTCATACGTCTGAATTTTACGATTTTTTTCTTCTCGGCTTCAACCGTTTAAAAAAAAAAAACAAAAACAAAAACAAAAGTCAATTTAACTCTGCATTTTTTTTTTTTCAATCGACAATATCGTAAATCATTAAGCTGGTCCACCGGTTTAAAATAAAAACAGTATATACACACACAATATATATGTGTGCGCATCGCCACCACCACTCCTATACATAAATACGTAACTCGTATTACTACACCGGTATAATACAACGACAAACCTGGTGTTGTTTTTATCCAAGAGTCGCATTCAATATATATTATGTATGTATGTGTGAGTGTGTTGTATATAAAATCCACCGCGGACCGACATAAAGCGCTGGACAGTTTCCAACGGCGACCGATGGCCTACAATGGCGGCAAGGTTAATTTATCACCATTTACACACACGCGTTCAAACAAAGTGTATACATTGCACCGATCGATCGGAAAAAGCTTTAGAGCTGACGAAAGCTTTCTCCGTACATATGTGTAAGTGTGTGTGTATAGTGAAATATCTACGCCGATTACGATGACTATGTACACCGCCCAGAGCACAATGGGTACTCACGACGTCATAGGGACCACGGAGAAATGCGATGGGGGCGGATGAACGATTCTCGATTATTTCTGTTTGACGTTATATGTTGCGTATATAAGACTACGGTACCGTGGCAAGAAGTGAAGGCGGGAGAACGAGACAACAGGACGCGGCGGGGCAAATAGGATGATATAGAGCTACGGGATGGAGAGAACATAGACGGACGAATACCCCACAGAGGTTTTTACTAGAGATCTCAATCCCGAAACGTAAAGACAAATGACAGACAGTTACGGACGACAACGTCGTCTTTCCAAAGTTCGAAACAAACTGAGAAGAAAAAAACACGAATAAAAATGGCTGTTGGGTCATTCTTATTCTGTGACATAGCTTCTACCCATCTAGAAAGGGTATAAGCAAAAAATACTCCTCTGAAATCCATTATTTGCGGTACTCTACAGGATATTTTTTATCAGTGTTCGATGGTTTCGAGTCGAAAGCCTACTGGGGTGGATGACTTTGTATCCACCTGTTGTGAGACGATTCATGTATATGAATCTTCAAACTTTCCCAAGAAACTTAACACTTGACAACAAATTATAAATCACAGGTAAATTAAATCGAATAAAATTACTATAAGCTTTAGAAAATAGAAAATATATTATGTGATCGGAGATACATACATGCAAGCGACATATAAATGTTAAGCAACTATTACTAGGAATTCAAATGATAAAAATTGGTAATTTAAATTATAACATTTTTTACGACAATATTTTATATAAACAATGAAATTATTAGTAGAATAAGTAGGAACAACAGGTTTACCTCAACGTTTATATAGTAAACGTAGGTACAATACGAGCGGCTTACTATTTTTGTTTTTTTATAAAAATATTTTTAATATTCTTTTACTCAAATGTAATTTGGTATGCACTTACACAAGTGTTGTATTTTATCTCTTTTTCAAATTTAGAACAATACTATAAGAATATATAGTTTACGTATGATTATA